CCTCCCACCACCAGTGCCCAGAGGCAGCAGCAAGCAGAAGAAACAAGGGGTGCAGGAGGAGAAGGGTGAACGCCCCAAAAAGCCTTGTCTAAAATCTCCCGTTGGAGACCTTTACTCCACCCAGTTACCTCCTGCCTGACCTCAGGAACTATGAGAACAAAGTCCTCTGCTAAGGAACAACGCCTCGCTGGAGGTGATGATTAGATTAAGCCCGCTAAGTTGATCAACCTCCTCACTTCGATCTAGACAAGGCTGTAGTCATGTTTTATAGCCTAGAAAAGATCAGTGCAGGAAGGATGATCCCACAGACAACCCAATTCAGATATGTAGCAGATCAAAACGTGGAAGCTGGGGAGAAATCACATCCTAGGGAGCCACCAGCAAGGGACACCAGGAAGGCAGAATCTCTCCCCCTAAACCAGCGAGATGAGCAGGGTACAACGGTGAGATTTTGCTCTCATCTCAAGGAGATGCAACAGAATCCTCAGCTGCAATAACTTGGGATTAACACATTTCACATTGATAATTTGGAGCTGCTTAGCAGTAGCCAGGCTGAACAACTGCCAGCACAGCCCATTACATCACCAACACTGGAGAACGTTGTGTGGAAGTGTGTTTCGAGGAGGAATTTCACTCTGGATAAGGCAGCAGCACATGGGCCGGGGCTTTGCACCCAGAGAGCAGCCTTCAACTTCTGCTCACTGACAGGCCACAAGAACCAAACCCTGACACAGGCTTTTTAAAACTGAAGTTGACGAGATGTTCTCAGAAGTACAGTCAGCATAAGGAGAGCCCCAGCTCCAGATGAGAGCCTGCAGGAAGGCTCTGTGCTGCAGGCCACTGCTGTGCTGGTGTCCACTCCTCAAACACAAACCCTGCCCACCCTCACAGCACTCAGGAGCATGACTGCATTCTGTTATCCCACCGTCCAGCCTCCGTGCCTGCCCAAATTCCCCAGCAGCACCATCCAACCCTCCAAAGCAGCTCTGGGCTCCCAGCACCAGAAGGACATAGGGCTGTCAGAGGGGAAGCCTCACGGATGCTGAAAGCTACGAGGAGATGGGCTCAGTCAGCCTGGAGAAGAGAAGGCTCTGGGGGACCTCGCCGTGGCTTTCCAGCACACAAAAAGGCTACGGGAAAGCTGGGGAGGGGCTTTCACAAGGACAGAGAGTGAATGAACGGTAATAGTTTTAAACTAAAAGAGGGGGGCTCTGAATTAAGTATAAGGAGGAAAATCTCTACTCACAGGGCAGTGATGCACCGGCACAGCGACCCAGAGAGCTGTGGGTGCCCCATCCCTGGAGGCGCCCCAGGCCGGGCCGGATGGGCCCCGGGCAGTCTCACCGGGCTGCTACCGAGCGTCCCTGCCTATGAAGGGGGTGGAACCGGATGGGCCTAAGGCCCGCTGCCCCCGGCCGTACTATCGCTCCGCGGCCCCGCGGGCACGGAAGGACGCGGCGAACTCACGGAGACGCCGCGCGGAGCCGGATCGGCGCTGCGCCCGGGCCCAGGAGGAAGCGGCTCCCGCCTCACCCCGCCATGCCGCACCACCGGCGGGGCGGAGGCCGCGGGCCGGCGGGGCTCCGGGCGCCGTGGAGAGGCCGCGCTGCCAGGCGGCGGGCGGGGGCTCGGAGGCGGTCCCGGGGCAGAACGCAGCCGGGGCTCCGGGGCCCTACGGCTACCGGGGGCGGGGAAGGGCCAGCAGCCCTGGGAGGAGGCGGGCGCGACGGGAGAAGGAGCGGGAAGGCCCCGCGGTACTCACCGGCACGCTACGGCGCGGCCCGGGCGGCGCCCAACGCTACCGGGCACGAAGCGGCGGCGGCGCTCGGCGGCTGGGCACGACGTCAGAGTTGCGCCTGCGCGCCCCGCCCCGTCGGCCGCGCGTCCCGCCCGCCGCTCTTCATTGGTCGCCGTCTGGGGAACAGCCTGGAAGGAGCGAGGAAGGGCGCGGCGCGCATGCGTGAAACGGGAAGTGGCCGTGCGCATGCGTCATCAGGAGGGTGGGCGCACGTGCACCGCAGACCGCATGCGCGGCGCTTCCTGCGCCCGGAGGGGATTTGAGCGCTGTGTGCTGCGGGGCGAACCCGCGGGACGAGACAGGAGCCCAGCCCAGCCCGTGCGTGTCCGCGGAGCGGAGGAAAAGGGGCGTCTTCCGCCCTGCTTCGCTTTGACCGATGGTCTTCCTGTGATAGGCCTGGGGTTCCTGTTCAGCATCCACGGGGGTGGGTGGTCAGCACCCGGGGCCAATCCCTCCATCCTGCAGCCGAGACAAAAAGCAGGAAGCACCACGGAGCCAAAGGGCAGCGAGATTTAATAACAAACTTTACAAAAAGATAAAAACGAGAGGCAGCCTCCTGTGCCGCTGGCACAAGGGCACAAACCCAGGGCCTGAAAGCTGCTGGGCAAAGCAAGTGCTGGGCTACACGCATGGACATCCCCATGTGTCCCCTCTGCCCAGGACTCCCTGCCCCATCCCTGCTGGAGCTACTTCAGGTCCATGAAGCGGATGTCCATGATGAGAAGGAAGTTCTTTGGAAGTGGGCGAGGGGCAGGCGAGAGCACAGTGAACACCTGGCGTTCCAGGTCTACCCCAGTGACCACAATGAAGCCAGCCACGCTGGTCTCTGAGATGTTGTCATCGGGGCTGTCGGCCATGCTGACGCTCAGCAGGTGGTGCACCATGTCCCGCCCTGGCGTCACCGGCACCAGCTTCAACTGGTTGTCCTCCTGCGACATGCCCAGTGGCAGGCAGGAGTCAGGGATGGTGGGAGCCCCTACTTTGTAGATCTTAACATCAGAGAATTTGACGTCAAAGGCGTGGGGGTAGAAGCAGCCCCGGAAGCCATAGAAATATTCCCTGATGCGGTCATCTCGGCACTCCCGCCGGAAGTCCTTGGAGCGCTCCACCACCCCGCCAGATTTGGGGAGCAAAACGGTGCGCACAAAGTGGGGCAGGTCCCTCTTAAGCTCGTTGTAGAGCCGCTCCTGGTCCAGCACCACCACCACATCTACCTCAAAAGCTGAGGCAGCATGCACCAGAGCCTGGTAGCCCGAGCCCTTCACCCAGCCGCATGTGTTGATGACGCAGCCGCTGACCGATGCACGGCGGTTCACTTCACATCGCTGGTTGAAGACATCAGCCAGGCGGGATGTGATCTGCAGGCAGATATTGGGACATGAGGATAAAGTACATGGGGTTGAGAGGGATGTTTCTGTTCCCAAAAGACATCAACGCAGCTGGAGGCCATGTGATGAGGACCTGTCCAATGATAGGCAATGCTCCTAACTCACTCAGCAGGTTTATTTAGTGCTAAGAGGCAGAGGCAATGCCTGGGCCATGGGAAACCACTTTGGCTGAAATCCTTCCTTGACCACCCCTCAGTGATAGCCATAAAGGGGCAGCAGCCACATTCAGTGCTGAAGCTGTCCATAAAGCACCTTAAATGAGTGCACTGAGGCTGAGGGCAACCTTCAGCCAAAAAAGGGGCTTCTAGCCATCACCAAACTGCAGGCAGAGGACACGAGGCATTTGGGCCAGCTTTTTACCCTTCATGTTTTTGTTGGACTTCAGTGCTTAACTCAGTATTGCACTATGGTTTTATAGAACAGTAGGACTAGATGGGCAATCCCTAACTCACAGGGGCAGACAGGACTCCTTGGAGGCTCCACCCTCCTCCAAGCAGGGCCAACCACAAGATGACAGGGACTCCAAGCACTCACCTTGTTGTAAAGCTTGATGTTTGTGCCAGGTGTGGTGGAGCCAAAGTGGTAGACCAGCGGAGCCTGCAGGGAGAAGCCCTCCTCCACATCAGCCGGCCGCTCGATGTAGAGGGCACCCATGGTGCCAGGGATGGAGACGGAGCCCTGCCCCACGTCCAGCTCCACAAAGGTGGGCCGGCGCCCCAGGCGTACAGCATAATTCAGCAGCAGGCGGCACACAGTCGACTTGCCCACATCGGTGGGGCCCACCACCATGACACGGGGCCCCCGCTCGTCCTCGCGCTCTGCCTGCCTCCGCATCTGCTCCAGGGCCGTGTGAGTGTTGAGGTAGAGCAGCATGGGCGTGTCCTTGGAGACGTATGCCACCTCGGTGCGCCCACTGAGCTGCACGGTGCAGCCGTGCCAGGTGAAGACGGCCACCTTTGCACCAGCGTCAAAGGTGAACTTCTTGTTGCGGGTCAGCTCGGTGCCAAACACCTCAGCCATGCCGGTGAGCAGCTCCATCTGCACCGTCTGCGAGGCCTCCACTTCAAAACGCAGCTCTGTCTCCCGCTCCAGCTCGAACTTCGCCACCTGCTTCTTCTCATCACCGCCATCGTCCGCCATCGCGGGCCCGGCCCGATCCCACCGCCCACCGCGGTAGGGCTGGACCCTGAGCCCGGGGTCTGGCAACCGTCAGTACCTGACAGCGCCTGCAGCTGTTCCGCGAGCCTACCGGGAATCTGGCAGGGCTGTCGCGTTTCCGTTACGTCACGGAGCGCGACGGAAGTAACGTCAGGCAAACGCCGGAGGTGAGGTCAGAGCGCTGCCCGCACGCCTGCTTCATCAGCGGGAGCGCGTGGGGCGTTGCCGTGGCAGCCGCGCGGGGCCTGCTGGGAGATGCAGTCGGGGCCTGCTGCGGCGTGCCGCTCCCCGTGCTTCCCGGTGTTCGTCCGCGTCTCATCTGCACAACACCTACTGGGGCACCGTGGCCACGGCCTCTCCCCCTTTCATTGCCCCCGGCCCCGCTACGTGCCACGGGCACGCCGCGAGCTGCGCTCCCCTCCCGCCCCGGCCTCGCTGCAGCCGCCCCGGGGTCCCTCGGCAGCGCGCGGGAGCCGGTAGAGCGCCCGCAGCTCGGCGACGGGGGCAGCGGTGACGTAGTGCTGCCGGGCGGTGACGTCTCGGCGCGGGGTGCGGGCGGTGACGTCGAGCAATGAGTCACGGCGCCGTGATGCAGTCCCCGGGCGTGCGGCGCTCCCCTCCCTTCCCCCCCACCCCCTCCGCGGCCGCCTGGTGCCCCCGCCCCGCACCGGCACCGGCACCGGGGACAGCGGCAGCGGGGACAACGGCAGGCGGTGAGCGGAGGGACGCGGGGGGAGGGGGGGGAACTACGGCGGTGCCGGGAGGCACGGCGCTGCCCCCTCCTCACCCCATCCTGCTTAACCATTCGCAGGCCGCCCCCCCTTACCGCCCGCTTCTCGTCCGGGGGACCCTTGGGCAGCCGCGCTCCACCCCCCCGTCCCGGAGGGACAACGGCTCTCAGCACGCTGCTGCGCTGCTTCTTCCCCTGCGAGCGGCTGTGCGGGGGCTGCACCATGCCCCCCGCACCCCCGCGGCCCCCCGGGGCTCTGCCACCGGCCGTGCTCCCTGCCCGCCGCCACCGGGTCCCTGCCACCACTCGTCTGCCTCCCCGGACCTTTCACAGCTACCTACCGCGCTCCCACCGCACCTACAGCTGCGTACACTGCCGTGCGCACCTGGCCAGGCACGAGGAGCTCATCTCCAAGGTGCCCCCTCTGCGCCCGCGTCACCTCCCCGGGGCCCTGGTGTAGCCATCTTCCCCTCTGCGGTGTCCCTGGGAAATAGTGAGGGTCTCCCCAGGGTGTCCCCAGGGTAGTTGTGTCTGTCCTTTCTGCATTGTCCCCTCTATGCTGTCCCCCCATGCTGTCTCCTCCTCCACAGCATCCCCTCTGCAGTGTCCCCTCCATGGTGTCCTAAGAGTGCCAGGTATCCCCCTGTGCCCATACTCCCCACAGTGTCCCCATGGCAGAAAGTCTTTCCCTGCGGTGGCATGGTGGTGATGGAGGAGGGGAGTGAGGGAGGCACAGAGGACGCTGGGTTGAGTCACGCTGTGTCCCTGCAGTCCTTCCAGGGCAGCCATGGCCGTGCCTACCTGTTCAACTCGGTGTGAGTACTGCGGTGGGGGATGGGATGCTGGGAGGGGGGAGTGGGGTGAGCTATCATCACTATCACTTGTCCTGGAGAAGGTTGAAGGAACATCCCCAGACGTGCCCACAGCACCCTGTCTGGTGCAGGGTTAATGTGGGCTGTGGCCCGGCCGAACAGCGCCTGCTGCTCACTGGGCTTCACTCTGTGGCTGACATCTTCTGCGAGAACTGCAAAACCACCCTGGGCTGGAAATACGTGAGTGCCCCTGGCGCCCCCAACCTGGGATTGGGCATCACACTGGCACCCCAATCCCTTGGCCTGGGCATCCCAAAGACATAATATGGGCACTCTGAGCCCACGGCACCGCAAATCCCGCTTGGTTACCCAAAGCCCTGCTGCAGCCCACTGTGCAGGCACCCCAAACCCACAATAGTTGCCCTGGGACCCTAAATCCATAGCACATGTCCTGTGACCTGGGCCCTGAGGGGGCTCAGGCTGCCATCCCCACAGGAGCAGGCATTCGAGAGCAGCCAGAAGTACAAGGAGGGGAAGTTCATCATCGAGATGTCGCACATGGTCAAGGAGAACGGCTGGGATTGAGCAGCATGGGAGGGACACCACAATGGCACCTACCCTGGCAGGCACCTGGCATTGGACAACTGACATGGGCCCTCCCCACTTTGCTCTCCAGGGAGGGCACCCCATGCCAGCCTGTGCCACCTGCTAGGGTGAGGGCATGGGGCCCGTCACCAGCACACAGAGGCTGCGGGCAGCTTTTCTAGTGGAATAAAAGACTTTTGTAGGAAGGCGTCAAGTGTCACTTTGGAGTGCCAGGGGGAGGTGGCAACGCCAGGGGACAGCAGCTGGCACACCAGCAGCAATAGTGTTCCCCCTCCAACAGGAGCCAGTCAGTGACTCAGAGCTTTTATTGGGGCCTCAGACCAAGAGCTGATGGAGGAAACAGAGGCACAGGAGCTGCTGGGGGGCCAGGAGCACCCAATGGGGGCAGAGGATTTGGGAGGTGTGGGAGGGAGAAGGGAGAAAAAGATGTGGCTGAATGGTTGTTGGAAGAGGGAAAGATGGAGTGAAGAGGGAAGGAAGGGGGGAGGAGAGGGTGAGAAGATATAAAGAAGCAGGGAGGGAGGAATGGGAAGAGGGAGAGAGAAGTGGAAGAAGGAAGAAGAGAAGGCAGATAGGGACAAGAGAAGGAGGAAGGGAAGAAATGGAGTGAAGGAAGGGGCAGGCATCAGGCCTGGGGGTCACTAAGGCGTCCCATGAAGAGGGGGATGGCGTTGCCTTCATCCCAGAGCACGAAGAGGAAGGGCTGCAAAGCCTCCAGCTGCAGAGCCGTGCGGGCCACTGAGGTGGCCATGGCACCCGCTGCCTCCACGCCTTTCTCGTCCAGCGTCAGCACAGCCCGGTGTTGCACTGCATCCACTGCCACCTCCGGGCCCCGTGCCAGCCCACACAGCTCCGCATCCAGGAACAGCCCAAAGTCTGCAGCAACCAGACACAGTGCCATTGCCGTGGCATGGAGACAGCAGGGGGTGGGAGCATTGGGAACAAGGGGAAACCAAAGGACACCAGGAACAAATGGGGAATGGCAAACAGCAGGGGATACAAAGGGATGTAGGGGACATGGAGGATACTGGAGCCACTGGGGCCGCCAGAGAACCAATGGACACAGGTATACGAAAACACCAGAAACACGGGGGACACTGATGTCACTGGGGGCACTGAAGTTGCAGGGGAAAGGTGCAGGTGACTTACTGCAGGGAGTGATGTCATCATCTGTCACCTTATGTGCAGTAGGTGACATCACTCCAGCACAGGCAGGGATGGGGGGATGCCTTACCCATGTCATGCACGTTGGCCACCACATCCATGGCGAGGTCGAGGTGCAGGCGTGGCAGGGCCACAGTAGTAGGGCGTGTGGGGGTGTTGGCTGCCCTCTGCAGCAGTGCCAGGAAGGTGGGGGGGTCCAGCGCTCGCTCCACAGCCCCCAGGGCCTCCGGAGGTCCCCGTGGCACCAGTACCACCAAGCTCAGCCCCCCACTAAGCTCCAGCCTCCCCACCTGCAGTGTGACATCATAGCCTGGCGTCCTCATTCAGTGCCATGGGAGCGATGCCATAGCCTGGCTTCCCATCAGTGCTCCAGGGATGACATCACCACCTGACACGTCCCTTCCATGGCACAGCAACGACATCATGCTGTGACATCATGCTCCACAAGCACAGGGATGCAGTACCTGGACCTGCAGGTGGGAGTCTGTGAAGGATGCCACAGGGTACTTCTTGCTGGTCATGGTGAGCACGTCCACTGGCAGGTGCCCATGGCGCATGAAGGGCAGCAGCATCGTATGCTTGGTCTTGAATGGCTTTTGCCACCGGGCTGCAGGGACACAGTGCCCATGGGGTGGGGTGTTGTGGGGCTGAGGGCCACCAGGGGATGGAGAAATGGAGGTTGGTAGATCCCAAGGTGGCTCCCAAGGTGGATCTCAGGGCAGATCCGGGATACACCCTGGGAACTGTGCCATACCCTGGAAGTGGACAGCACTGAGCAGCACTAGGCGAGGCTCATCAGGCAGCTGAGACAGCAGATGGGGCACAAGCCCGCGTGTGGCCTTGTGCACCCATTCATTGATGCGTTGCAAGTCCAGGCTCTCGTTACCACTCAGCTCCCGTGGCCTGGCCTCGTAGAATTGCCATGACTCATTCAAGAAGCGGGGTCGGAGGTGCAGGTCTGCATGGTAGTATGGATGATGTCACCCCCTTGCCCACCCCACTGTTCCTCCCTGCTAGTGTCTGTCTTACCTGGGTGGTGGAAGATCTCTGTGGCAGAGAGCAGGCCTGGCACGTTGGCAAGCTGCCGCAGGGCGCCGTGCACGCAGGTCAGCCCTGGCCGGTACCCCAGGATGGCAGCCAGGCGCTGCTGGGTCTCACCGCGGGCACCTGAGGGCAATGGTGAGGCTCAGAGGGGCCTGGCAGCCGGGAAGGCTGTGGGTGTATGGGCTACACCCCATGGAGAGCCCCTCACCCAGCAGGAGGTGTGACAGCCCTAGGGCCACGTTGAGGGGGGAGAAGAGCAGGTTGGTGTCGGGTTTGGCAGACTCTGCCATGTGCTGGTAGAAGCGTAGGGCAAAGGTGCCCAGTGCCTTGGCCACTTCCTCCTTCTGCTCCCTCGTTGGTGCTCTGCAGGTCTCACTTGGCTCTTCATCCCCAGGGCACGGTGGGGTGACTGCGCCTGGAGGGCTGCTGGGGGGACCCATGGTAGTCCCAGGCTGAGATGTGGTCGTGCTCCCGCCGGCAGCAGTGTCAGGCTCCTCGGGTGCTGCCACAAATTCCGCAGGGCCCAGAGGCTGCAAGGCCTCCAATACAGCATCCAGGCTGGGTTCTGACGTGGAACTGGACACACGCTGGGTTGGTGTCCCTGTGTCCTCTGATGGGCTTGTGGTGGGATGTAGGATCACCATGCGTGCTGGCTGCAGTCTGATTGGCTTCATCCTTCTGGAAGGAGTGGTATCCGGCATGGACACCTGGGCAGGGGGACACTGGTGAGGGTGGGCAGGGGGCACCTGGCTGCAGGGAGTCCACATCCCCATGCCACGCTTACCGGGGTGACAGTGGCTGTGACCGTGGCCACCAGGCACACCAGCAGCAGGCAGAGCTTCATGGTGAGCAACCTGGTGGGCAAGCATTGGTCAAAGTATCAGCTGGACACCCAGTAACCCCCATTCACTCCCAACATCCCTTGGCACTCAGCATCCCGTTCCCCACACCCACAAACTACACACCCTCAGCACCAGGTGCTCCCTGCACGACACCCCCACCCACCCCGTGGGATGGAGGGGCAGCACCCAGGGCCCACCTGGTGGCCGTCCGGTCGCTCCCCAAGAGTCCGGCCGGCCGCAGGGGGGAACTGGCCGGAGCCAGGCCTGCCTGGTTAAAGATTAAGGAGGGCGGGAGGCCATAGAGGCTTCCCGTAAATCAGCCGGACGGTGCCTGGGGGCCAGGCTTGGCGGGGGCCCCCGGCTGAAGCGCGGCTCCCGGCACCATACGGCCCAGCCCTGCGTCCCGCCCCGCGCTGGAGGACCTGCCCCCCCCCCATCGCCATGGCTCTCACCGCCCAACCTGCCCCCGCCCACCCGCTCTGCCCTCGGGGAGGGGCCGCAGCCTCTCGCCCCGCCCCTCCCAGAGAGAGCGGCCCCGGGGCGTCCCACCCAGCAGCGGCGGCACCGGGCCCCGGACATCGGTGACCATGAGCAGGCGGCTCGCTATGGTGCGTGAGGCGCGGGGTCAGCGGAGGGGACACCCCGCTATCGGCACCCAGCCCGGGGGGCCGGACCAGGGCAGCGGGGCCGTGAGCGTGTCGGGGCGCGGAGACCCGGTGGGGGCGGCAGTACTCGGGGCGGGGGGCGCGTGCACGTGCACGGGTAGCGCCGTGCGACGGGAACGGATGCCAACAGCGGGGCGCTCAGTACCCTGTGCGGCGGTTCCGCTTTCGTTTCCCCGACGGGGACCGCGCGGCGAGGCGGCGTGTAGCGGAGGGTGAGACCGGCCGCTTGGGGGCGGGGCCGGGTGGTTGACACAGCCCATTGGAGGGGACCACGGACCGTCCCGCCCCGGGGCTGAGCCTGGAGGCGTGTCCTCACTGAGGCCCCGCCCCCTAACCAGAGCCCGCCCACAGGAGCTGGAGGAGGTGCGGCGCTGGGGCGGCGTCCGCGACCTGCACTTGGTGGACCGTGACGTGCTGCGCTGGAGGGGACTGCTGCTGCCTGTGGGCACGAGGGGGCTGGGGCACGGGGCTATGGGGCGTCCTTGGGGGAAGGGGGATGGGAGGGGTACAGGGGCACAGGGAGGTCCCAGGGGTCGTGGGGGGTGCCCTGGGGACATGAAGGGAGTCCTTGCTGGGGCAAGCTTGGGGGGCTTCCCTAGGAGGCATCGTGCAGGGTGGGACAGGGACGTGGAGGGACTCACTCTGGGGGAGGGCATGGGGCAGGGCAGCTAGGGGGGGTGTGCCCCTGTCGGGCAGCTGGAGGCTGAAGCACTCTCAATGCCGCTGCAGAACAATCCCCCCTACAACGCGGGTGCCTTTCGTTTCGAGCTGGCCTTCTCCCCACATCACCCCCTTGTGCCTCCTCGTGTCAAGCTTCTCACCAGCATCCACCACCCCGGTGTGGGCCCCGATGGCACCGTGTGCCAGCCCCTCACTTCCCCCGAGAAGTGGGAGCCCATCACCTGTGCCACACATGGTGGGTGCTGGGGGCTGGGGTGGGGGGCACGGCAAGCACCCTTGCTGATGCCTCCCCTGTGTCCCACAGTGCTGCAGGACCTGCTGCTGCTGCTCGATAACCCCAGCACCGAGCGGGTGCTGCGCCCTGAGCTGGCCCGTGAGCTGAGCGAGAGGCCTGAGGCCTTCCTGCACCAGGCAGAGGAGCACACCCGTCGCTATGCCGAGCGGCGCCCTGACACCCCCGGGCCCTGAGCCCCCACCTCAGTGCCACTTGTCCTGTACATAAAGCTCCCACCTCAATCCCGTGATCCCTCTGCATGATGCTGTCCACACGAGAGATGAGGCGCCACGGCATGGCACTGCAAACCTTTACTCCTAGGGGCTGGGGGACAAAGTGGAGAATGGGGCTGGCGGGGCCTCAGCGCTTCTTGGTCTTCACTAGCCCCTTGGCCACCAAGCTGCGGTACAGCTCCTGCACGTAGGTATAGATGCACTTGGCGTCCGGCACCGTCAGCCGCAGCATGTCTTCCACCTCCAGCAGCTGGGCACAGTCGACACGCTCCCTGCAGGACTGGCATCACCAGGGCTGCCCCACAGGTGGACATGGGCATAGGGATGAGGACAGGAACACACTCACTCTGCGGTGCTGAAGGCCAGGGTGAAGTTACGCCGGCGGTCCTGGGGCTCCAGGCTGCCATAGTCAAAGGCATCGGGGAAGAAGCTGTGGATGAGGGCGCAGAAGGCCAGGCCGCTGCTCCAGCTCCCTGAGAAGTTCTGGATGTCCACATGCTGTGTGGGTGGATAAGCAGGAAGGGGGAGGGATCAGGACACTGCTGGCCCTCTGCCAGCCTCCTGTCCCCCACTACTCACCTGGTAGCCACGTGTCCTGGCACGGCACCATTCCAGCAGCATGGCCTTCACTGAGCCCGTGGCCCCCACACGCTTCAGGTGTGGGGCTGGGCCTGTGGCTGCCCTGTAGCCAAGTCAGTGATCCCATTGGTGCATATTCCCCAGGGGCTCACCACTGGGCAGCGCTATCCTCAGTGTCCCATCTCCCTCTCAATGTCCCCCCATTGCCCCATGCCCCTAGCTGTCCACTGTCCCATATCTCTCATTGTCCCTTGGCTTTCCCATTCCCCCCAGCGCCCCATGCCCTCCAGCCACCCCACTGACCATGTTCCTCCACTGCCTCCCGTTGTCCCCTGGCCTCCCCACTGTCCTCATCGCACCCTGACCTCCCCAGGCCCCACTCACCCCCCAAACTTCTCCAGGATGGCACTCCGTCCATATGCCCGGCTGCTCACTCGTGGCCGCCCCACAGATGCCACCCGGGGGGGCACCCGTCCTCGTGGTCCCACTGCAGACACACCACTGGGAACACAGGGGTGGTGGCTGTGAGCAGGGATAGGGTCACCACTGTGGATATCACCTATGAGAACAGGGTATGGGGATGCCAGCAGCGGGGCAGGGCTATGGGGCAGCCCCGGTGCTGGTTGCTCTTCTGTTCTCACCTCTCACTACCTCTTGAGCCCTCAGTGCTACCAGCTGCAGGGGAGAACAGAGGAGTCAGTAGGATGAAAGGGGGCATCCAGAATAAAACTACCTCCCTGGGGCAGACATAGTGCCTGGGGGCACTGCAGGGAGTCCCAAATGGGGCAAATGGGACGGAGAACAGAGGGACTCTACAGAGTATATGGGGATCTGTAAGGGGACTCTGGGAGAGGGCCCACCGCGCCCCCCATTCCTTATCCCATTCCCCTTCCTGCCTCCCCTGCCCTGGAAGGGGATTCCTGTGCCCACTGTAGCCCTTACCTGTGGGAGAAGTGGGGGACACAGGAGGCGAAGGGGACGTGGGAGATACGGGGAACGTGGGAGACACAGGGGAGGTAGGGGAGAGTGGGGTGGTGGGGCTGGCAGCCCCCTCCGTGGGTGAGCAGGGGGGGAACTCAGGCCACAGCTCATCATCCTCATCCTGCAGCCAGGTGGGCTCCTGTGGACACAGGCATGGTGGCTGCACAGCTGTACCACCATCTCACTGCTGCCATCCATCCCGCTGCCGCCACTTTACACTCCAACCCACCCGTACCCTGTGCCACCCCCAGCCCCAACTGTGCCACTCAACCCACAGCGGTGCCACCCCCACCCCACCAGTGCCACCCAGTACCCAGCCCCTGGCAGTGTCACCCCAGTCGTGCTCCCTCTCACCTGCCGGCCTTGGGTGCTGCCCGCTGCCTCCGGCCTGGGCCTGGGCTCGGCCTCCTCCTGTGGCACTGCACTGCCTCTGGCCTGCCCTTCAGCCTCTTGCTCAGCAGCCTGCCCTGCTGCGGGCTCCTTGCCAGCATCCTCTGCAATCTCAGCCTCGCTCCCAGAAACCCCTGCTGCCTTGGCTTCATTCCCAGCATCCTTTGCAGCCTCCCCCTTAGCCTTGCTCCCAGCATCCTTTGCAGCCTCCCCCTTAGCCTTGCTCCCAGCATCCTTTGCAGCCTCCCCCTTAGCCTCACTCCCAGCATCCTTTGCAACCTCCTCCTTATCCTCGCTCCCAGCATCCTTTGCAGCCCCCTCCTTAGCTTTGCTCTCAGCATCCTTTGCAGCCTCCTCAGCCTCACTCCCAGCATCCTTTGCAGCCTCCCCCTTAACCTCACTTCCAGCATCCCGTGCATCCTCCTCTTTAGCCTCACTACCAGCATCTCCCATTATGTTGGCCTCACTCCCAGCATTCCCTGTTACCTCCCCCTTAGCATCACTCCCATAATCCTTTGCTGCTTCTACCTTAGCCTCACTCCCAGCATTCTCTGCTGCCTCCCCCTTGCCCTCACTCCCCACATCCCCTGCAGCTTCCCCCCCAGCCCCTCCTTCAGCTCTGCCAGCCTCCCCCTGCCCCTCTTGTGCCACGCTTTCCCTGCTGTCCCCCCGCACCATCCCCTCTGTGGGCCCTGTTGATGTCTGTGTGACGTCACCCAGGGCTGTGTCACTCGGGGCGGGGGCTCCACCACTTGCTGGGGACTCCATGCTCCTACTGTGGGTTGCAGGGCTGTCACTGAGGTGTCCACTGTGCCTTCATCCCGTGCCTCCACCCCATGCAATCTCATTGCCCTTCCTTTGCCCCTCAGTGTTCCTCCTGCCCGCCCACCCCAGCCGCCCCAACACAGCCCCCAGTCCCCATCCCATCCCTATTATGTATCCCAGATCCCTCTCTGCCACCCCTCAGCCCATCCCATTCACCCCAAGCCACTCCCCACTTCCCTGTCCCATCCCCAGCCCCTCCTGCCCCCCTGCACACCCCAACCCAACCCATTCCCCATTCTGATTTCTCTCCTGCCCCCTCCCAGCTTCTCCAGCTCAGTCCCAATTCCACAACCCGCTCCCTATTTCCAACTCCGAGCCCCCTCCCTCCCCCCCCATCCCGTCCTATCCTCGTTTCCCACCCCCAAACCCCGACGCCCCCCCACGCCCCTCCGGCGCCCCGCAGCCCGGCTCACCGCGCTCCGCTCGCCCCGCGGCCGTGTGACTGCCGCAGGTGCCGCCTTCAGTCAGCGTTGACGGGGCGGGCCGGGGGCCGGAGGGGGGCACCGCGGGGAGGGGAGGGGACGGGGGGGGGCGTGAGAGGCCGGGCGGGGCCTGGGGACGGGGGACTGCAGGATGGCACGGGCACAAGGGGGACACAGGGACATGGGGGAAGGTGAGACCTCGGGTGCACGTAGGACACGGGGGGACACGTGCACATGGGGGCACGGGGGGACTTGGAGGCGTCACAGGTGGGGGGGATATGAGAAACACAAGCGCACAAGGGGACATGGAGGGACACAAGGGGAGGACACGAGAGACAGGCACATGGAGGAGATGGGTGACACGCGTGAGACACGAAGGAACACGAGGGACACATATATGGTAGAGAAGGGTGACATGAGGAACACGAGGTACACTGATCCAGGGGAGACACTTGGGGGAAAATAAGAGATACGATCACACAGAGGGGCACGGGAACACAGACGCATAGCAGGCACCGACACACGAAGGCAGAGACGTGCCGGCAGATCCACGGGGACACGCGGAGGTCACGCGTGGGCCGGGCCGGACCCGCTACAGGCCGTGCCCCCAGCTCGGCTGTCCCCGCCCATTGCCGCTTCTGCTCCCACCCCTTTGGGGCGAATTGCGGCCAAAGCGCGCGGCCGCTCCACTCTGCGCCGCGCTCCTCGCCGCCCCGCCCCCCCCCGCGTCCTATCAGCACCGGGGACTCGCTGCTGTCCCGCCCCCACCCGTCTCCTATTGGTCGAGACCGGCGGCGGGGCGGAGCGGCTGAGCGTGTGGGCGGAAGCGCGCGTCCCACGTGCATCCTGCGGGAGCCCGGTCCGGGAGCGCCATGGACCCGCTGCGGGCCCAGCAGCTGGCGGCCGAGCTGGAGGTGGACATGATGGCCGACATGTACAATCGGTGCGCGGCGTGAGGGGCCGGGGCGGGGCCCGGGGGAGTGCCCGTGGGCGGGAGGTGCTGGGAGTGCGAGAGGCGGGGGGTGTCGCGGGTGGAGGCAGCGGGGGCTTTGCGGATGCTGGGGATGGGGAGGGTACTGTGGGTGCCGGGCAGAACTGTTGGGGTGTGACAGTGTTGCCCTGCAGGATGACGCAGGCGTGCCACCTCAAATGCGTGCCCCCCCACTACAAGGAGGCGGAGCTGTCGAAGGGCGAGAGTGTGTGCCTGGACCGCTGCGTGGCCAAGTACCTGGATGTCCACGAGCGGATGGGCAAGAAGCTGACGGAGCTGTCGCTGCAGGACGAAGAGCTCCTCAAGCGCATGCAGCAGGGCACTGGCACCGCCTGAGCCCTTCCTTTCAGACCCCCCCCTTCCCACCACACCAATAAACTGGAGGCTCTGGGCCAGTTGTCTGCTTCCCTGGGCCCCCCAAACCCATTTGTGGTGCTGTGTCAGGGGCTGCCCCGCTAACCTGCTCGTGTTCCCCAACACTGGGTGTGCTGCTGGGACAGCCTTGCATGGGGCCCGGCTGCCATATGCATCTCCTGGAGGGGGGGCACCCTGGGCTGCCTGCCATGCCCATGTCAGCCTCAGAGATAGGCTGGGACCTTCCTTATCCCTTATGGGGTCGGGACAGGGCTGTGCCCCTCAGAGAGAGCTTTCTGGGAGGACATTGGGGAATACCTGGAGAAATGGCCACAAAGGAACACTTGCAGATGGGACAGTGAGAAAACACCACACCTCTATGGGGACTGTTACTGGGACAGTCACATAAGGATATCTGGTATGGACAGCTGGAGAGGGACAATGCCCTTTCCACCCCTGGAAAGGGGCCACATAGAGACACCCACACGGGGACACGTAGGGGGAGACACATGGATGGAGGCAACCCTGGAGCTGCGCATACAGATATGCACGTGTGCAGGGACACCGGGCAAGGAAGACCTGCACAGGGTTGCTAAATAGGAACACCCAGAGAGACCCCGGCCTGGGGGTGGGCACTGTATGTCCATCCATCTGTACACATGCAGTGCGCCTGTGCCGGCGCGTCCCTGGGGCTGGCTGGAAGTGGGTCAGGCTGTGCGCACACTCGCTGTCCTCACAGCTCGTGGGTCGCATTACGCCCCACCGTGTGCCTGTCGTGCAAACAGGGGGTGTGTGAGGTGCTGCAGGCGTGACAACGGGGTGGCGTTGCCGGGTGTAACGTCGGTGTGTCCGTCCATCAGTGCCGCAGCGAGCGGTGCGTGCGCCCTGGGGCCCTGCAGCCAGCAGCAGCGGTGCTGGGGCCATCAATATTTCACGAGGAAAAAGCGCCGCGACCTGGAAAGCCAGCTCCGCAGCCGCCGGGCCCCACGCTCCCAAAATAAGACCATTTTTAATAAAGAATTCCCAACCGCGCGGTGCCTGTGTGGGTTCTTTTCACTCGGGACGGGTGGGAGCAGAGTCCTGGGGACACCTCCTGTCCCCGAGCACCTCGGGAGGACCTGAGAGGGGTCCAGAGGCCCTCCGGTCGGGCTCAGAGATAGGGTAGGAGCAGGCCCAGCAGGGACAGTAGGGTGGGGGCCGGGCGGGGGGCCACAGCCACAGGGGTGTCCCCGGGGGGGCCGCGGGAGTCACGGGATGGAGGGGGTGGCCGGGGCTGGGAGCCCCGCAGGTCGTGAGGCGGCAGCCCGTCGCGGTAGAAGGCGGAAGGCGGTGCGGCAGGCAGGGTGCCGGGGCGGCCTAGCGCCCGCCCCGGGGTGCCCACCACGGCCACTGCCCCGCCGCCACCACCACCCCCATCGCTGTCATCCTCATCTTTGCCTTCGTCCTCCTCCTCGTCCTCCTCAGGGCAGCCATCGAAGTCACGGGGCTGCAGGTGCCGCAGGTCGGTGCCACGGCGGTGAGGGGGGCTGGCGCAGGGCACGGGCGAGCTGGAGACTCGAGTGCGGCGAAACCAGGCCCAGAGCGGGCGCGCACGGCAGTCGCAGGCCCAGGGGTTGGCATTGAGGCGGAGGAACTGCAGGGCCGGCAGCGCGGCCAGCGGGTCCCCGGGCAGAGCCACCAGGCTGTTGTTGAACAGGTAGAGGATGGTGAGGCGGGCCAGGCCGTGGAAGGCACGGCGGTGCACGGTGGCCAGGCGGTTGGCGTGCAGCAGCAGGCGGTCCAGGCTGGGCAGCCCACGGAAAACACCCTCGGACAGAGCTCGCAGCCGGTTGCCGTGCAGGAAGAGATGGCTCAGGTTGGCCAAATCGGCAAAGAGATCGTCCTGTGGGGAGCAGGTGAGGGACCGGGTGGGTGATCCCATCCCTGCAGGCATAACCCAGCACCTCGATCGTCATCCCAACTCCATATTGCCACCTAACGCCCTGTATCACCTCTGTAACTCATGGATGTCACCCCGACCTCTGCCCTAAGGCCGTCACTGTCCATCACTCTGTTGGACAGACAGTGCCAAGAGTCCTCCGCCATGCCCCCGTCTTTCTGGTGCCACCCATCACCCTGCCCCGTATCCTGACCTCAAGGGTATCATCACCAACAGCTCTTCTGTATGACAGGTATCACCACCTTGCCTCATGCCCCTGCTCCACAGGCAGCATACATCTCCCTGCCTTACGGTCCTGCTCCACAATATCATCCTTTCCTTGCCCCATGGGCATCACCCATCACCTCTTCCATGGGTATAACCAGAGCACTCTTTTATGTCTCTGCCTCATGGCCACCGCACTGCCCTGTGTCTCTGCACCTTGAATATCACCCACCACCCTGCACTGTTACTGTCTGAGATGTGTCCCACGCCCATGCCTGCAAGCACTGCCTACCACTGCACCTCAGTGGCATCCCCCATATTCTCCCCAGGGACACCCCATAGCCCTGCCACACAGGGCTGTCTTAGGACCCAGTCCAGCCCATGTCAGACCTGGAGGTAGAGCAGCCCGTTCTCCTGCAGGTAGAGGTACTGGAGGCTGTGGAGGCCACGGAAGATGGCGCTGGGCAGGCTGGCCAGCTGGCACCGGTAGAGGTGCAGGGCCTGGAGGCGCCAGAGGCCATGGAAGGTATCAGGTGCCAAGACACGGAGGTGCGGGTTGTCACCCAGGTCGAGCTCCTCGAGGGCGGGCAGGTGGCGGAAAGTGCCCGGCTGGATGGAGGAGATGTTGTTGGAGTAGAGCCAGAGGGTGACAGTGCTGGGCCCGAAGGTGCCCGCCCGCAGCGCCCTGATGACGTTGTTCTGCAGGAAGAGGCGGCGGGCGCCAGGCGGGAGCCCCGTGGGCACCGAGGAGAAGTTGTTGGCCTGGCAGCTGACGGTGGGCGGCGAGACGTAGCAGGTGCAGAGCGCGGGGCAGGCGGGCGACCCACCGGGCACCCACGCCAGTGCTGCCAGCAGCAGGGCCGCCAGGTGCCCGCCTGCGGGCACAGCGGGGCGTCAGCCCGAGGCTCGACCTGGGGCATTGCCCCTGCATCCCTGGCCCAGCCCCATGCACCCACCGCCCCACACAGGGCCCTCCCCAGCAACCCCATGGAGAGCACCCCAAGGGGTACTGGCTGCCACCAGGCTCTAGGAACCCCCCCCAGAACCATCCTCATCCCACCTGGCTGTTCCCATACCACACAGCCAGGAGCTCCGGGAGCTCTACAGGGCTATGTCCACCCCATATGGTCATGGCCATGGCCATCCCTTAAGGTCAGGCATTCCAAGAGCTCTACAGGGACACATACATCCCATGTAGTCACTCTCTCCTAGGGACCACTAGGGCTACAACATAAGGTCAAAGATCCCGTAAGAAGCCAGTAGGGGAATGTACCATTCAACACGGCCATGCCTATCCTATAAGGCCAGGATCCCAGGTAGCCCTCGGGGGCCACACACGCCCCACATGACACTACCCACCCCGTTGGGTCCAGCACCTCACGGGGATTTGCACTCCAAAGAGCTTCCATGGCTTTGCCCCTTGTGATCTCCCCGTGTCCCCCTGGGGCTGTACTCCCATGGGACCCCCTCAAGGGAGGGAGGGAGAAGGCTGTGCCCCCCACGCGCGTCCCCGACAGCGGGGCGGGGCGGAGCCACGTGCGCGCGTGCCGCGGCCACGTGCGGGGCGGTGCGCGCGTGGGCGCGGGCTGACGCGCTCCCCGGTGACACGCGCCGCCGCCGCTCCGGGTGTTCGCGCCCCCGCCCCCCCCTTCTTTCTTCCTCATCTCTTCCCCCCCCCCCCCCTCCGCCTTCCCAGTGCCCTGCGCTGCAACCCGAGCGCCTCATCCATAATTCAGCCCGGCCTGGCTCGGGCTCCACGGCCCGCTGCGGAGGGAGGGAGGCGGCCCCCCCCCGATGCTAGGCGGCGGGGATGGGGATGGGGAGGGGACGCACGGAGGCGTCCGGCGCAGCTGCTCGGCGCCGCCCCCCTCCCCCGGCGCCCCGTGCCGGCGTGCGCCCCCCCGGCGCCCCCCTCCCGCGCCCCATCTGTCACTCCCCCTCGCCGCGGGCTGACTCAGTTCGGAGCTGAAGTCACCGGCTCCCGGGCTCCGCTCCCCGCGCAACCGCCCCCCCACTCGCAGGGTCCCACTGCCGGCTCCACCCCTCCCCCCCACACACACCTCCTACAGCGCCCCGCACCGTCCCCGCTTCCCCTTTGCCCCGCTGCAGCGACCCTATGGAGCATCCACCCGCGGGGCTTTGTGGCACCGCGCACCCTTTGCGCCGCACTGTGCGCCCCGAGGGCAGCGCGCACCCCGCACCGCGCGCCCCGTTAACCCCGCAGCGCTCTGCGCGCTGCCCCGGGGCAGCCGCTGCGTCCCGAAGGCAGCGCCGCGGGTGCCGGGACCCCCGCCCCGCCCCGTCCCGCCGCGGGGGGGTCTCGGGGCCGTGCCCCCGGCCCGCCCCACGCCTACCTCGGGGCAGGTCCCGAGCCGTCGGGGGCCGCATGGCGGGACCGGGCCGGGCGCTCAGGCGCTGCCCGCTGCACGTCGGCTCATGGCCGGTGCCGGGGTTGGGGGGGGGTGCGCGCCCCTTACCCCCCGCTGCGCCGCCGGGAGGAGGAGCGGCAGCCGCCGCCCCGGGGCATGGCACGGGTGGGCTCGGCTCGGCTCTACCCGCGGCTCCCGGAGGGGCTGAGCCCTGCCCGGCGCCGCGCCTTATCCCGGGGCGGCCGCGCTCCGCCCCTCGCCGCCGGTCCCGCCGCTTAACCCTTCCTCGGCCGGGCCGGGCCGTCCCGCTCCGCGCGTGGGGGAACTCCACGGAGGATCGCGGCGCTCCTGCGGAATGTGTGGGAACGAGGTCTACCCACGGGGACGCCCCGCAGCGCGTCCCCAGGGACCGGCGGAGCGTCTCGCAGAGGACGCGAGACCTCCTTGCAGCTCCCACTGGGGACGCGGGGACTCGCGCGTGGGGCCGTGAGCCCGGGGGAGCGAGCTGCGGGGAAGCCCTCCTTGCATGTCTGGACCCTCGCGGGGTTGCTGTGTCCTCGCGGATGGCGGACACCTCGGCAGGGGCGTTCGTGCCCGTGGATGGGACAGAGGGGCGATCGCGAGTGGGCGCCGAGGCGGCACCCCTCGCCCCTCACCCACGCGGGACCGCGACGCTGTCCGCGGTGCCGGAGCGGGCGCTGTCCGCGGTGCTGGGCTCGGGGCGGGGGGCGGGGGGTCTCCGCGGAGGGAGCGGCGGCGCGGGGAGCCCACGGAGCGCGGGTGGGGAGGGGCTCGCGTGGCCGTGCCAGGCTGCGGCGGCACAATCTGGCACCCGCCGTGTTTGCGGTGCCGTCTCCGGTGCGGCTCCCGGCGAGCGAAATATCACAAGCTGGAGAGACAGACGCTGGCGGGGAGCGGTGGGCGTTGCGGGCGGCACGGGGCTGACTCAGGGGCCGCCATCCGCTCGCTGTCCCCCGCGATGTTCCTCGGTCCCACTGTGCCATAGCTGTCCCTATTCTATGGGTCCAATGGGTCTGGGCAAAGTGACAGAGGTGCTGGGGCCTGCGGCGCTGGGCACCTCCAGCGTTGGTCCTGTACTTGCATCCACCCACCCGGGGTATGGCGTGGGGGTGTGGGACAGACCCTTGAGCCCCTGGCAGGTCCTAGGAAGGCAATGGCACCAAGATGCGGGTGGAAAGAGATGGGCGATGAGATGGGAGCAAGGGTGGTGGAGGGTGGTGGAAGAGAGATGGATGGATGGAAAAAAAAGGAATGATGGATGGGGAGGTGGGGGTGAAGGCATGGGTTGGATGAGGGTGGCAGTGAAAGAGTGAAGGCCAGATGATGAGCAGATGTTGAGCAGGTGTAGGTTTGGGTGGGTGAGAAGCAGGATGGAAGGATGGATGGATGGATGGATGGATGGATGGATGGATGGATGGATGGA